CGGCAGGCTCCCGGCCGTGGGTTTTCTCTCACGGAAGCAGAGCTGGGGCCGACGATCTCGCTTCAGGCGTGGCACCGGGCCCGGCCCCGCCCAGCCTCTCCTCCCCGGGCGCCGGCGGCACTTGCGTTATGTTTTTTTTCTAATTAGAGAAATGTAACTTATTCATAAACCACGTTGTAATGCTCTTCTTGCTTTCTTGCCAGGAATGAGTACAAGTACTTCCAGAGAATGACTAGCACATCCCATGTGGAAGGTAACGTTGTACTTGTTGCCAAGGTGTGCCTCTACTTATTAAAATTAGTTTGTGCGGTATCAGTCATGGAAAAGACCAGTAATTTTACTTTTCCTTGACTTAAAAGTCCTACCTCTGCAAACAGCCTACCGTTCCCTGCCCTCCCAAGCTTCACAAGTATTTTACCCCTTTATAAATGTGTCATCTGCAAATTGTTTCAGTTAGATAAAGAAACTGGAGGTGAATCAGATGTTTCAGGACTGCAGGTGATTTGTAAATAAAAAGAATTTCAAAGTCCTGTCTCCCCAAGAGGGTAGAAAACTTCACCTACCTGTCTTTACCTACAACTGCAACCCTGAACAAATTAAAAATGGAAAGGTTTTTTTATGCTGATTAATTGGCAGAGGTTTTTTTCATGCTGTATTAGCTTATCTAATTTGTTTGCTGTAGCTCAGCCTTGGCCATTTGTTCCACCCCTCTGACCCTTGTGACAGTAATTTTGCTTGATTTTCTGAGTGCTGAGCCATCCCAATACGCCAGAAAACCCGAACTGTACTGGTAATATGCAGCAATAATGTTCAGGCCCAGTGAGACCTTTGCAGCAAAGTGATATAGACTTTTTTGATTTAGTGAGATAAAACCAGTTGTTGTGGGGTGAAAAAATTGTGGAAATCAGCACAAACAAACAGGGATAGGAATGCAAAAGATGGAAACAGCTAATTTGTTCTGACTGGGTACTTACCACTGCCAGAAGAGACAAGTCTTGCTGCATTGCCCCCATTCCTCTTTCACACTGACTTTAGTGCTGGTTTGACATTTCCTTCAGCTGTTTTAATTCTCTAACCCCATAGACTAGGTTACTGGGTGTCTGCGAGGACTGCCAGTACAAGGTGTGTGGTAGGACCGGGAAGGACGCATTGGGAGAGGAGGAATAGGATCTCCCTGAGCCATGCAGCTGCCTTACTGCATCTGGTGGAATCAAAGCCATGACAGACAACAGATTTATCCTCACGTTTCTGCTGCTTCTCTACTTGCCAGCATGGCCACTCTCTTTCATGTGGGTTTTTTTGGTGCTCCTCTTAAAACTGCTATCACTTGTTTGCTAAAACTTCTGGGCAGCCTAACATGTGCCCTTGTTTTGATTGAGTAACCTATTCCATATTCTGATTTGAAGGTCTGTTTCATATTCCACAAGGAATATCTAATCTCATTTTGTAACAGTCTTAAGTGAAGGATTTTACTTATGTTTTGGAGACCCAATTCAGCCTATTGCAACCCTACATACAAATAAGACACAACAGAAATGTATGTCTTTTTATGTGTCTGCAATTTGCATCTTACCTGGCACAAATAACCCGTAATCAAAAAAAGGTATTTTAAATGTAATTAAAACAAAAAATTTTGCTCCATCCTGCCTGCAAATCTGTGATAAGCTATAACCTTGACCTTAGATGGTAGGCAGTTAAACTGCTTCATAACCAGACCTCTTAATGGATTATGCTGCCATAAGTTTTCACAGCAGGGATATCGCCATCGGCTCAAAAAAGTCAGAGAGTCACTGATTTTTGAAAGTGGGAAGAATACAATGGAGAAGCATCATCTGATCTTTCTTTTAGTCTGCTTGCATACCTGCACTGGCCACTGCTGTAAATTAGCTATTGGTCTAGACAAATCTTTGTTCTGACCCCGTAGGCATACCAGTGTGAATCTTTAGTAAGAAAATACATATATTTTTCAGAACTTTTGCATTTCCTTCAGCAGTGGTGCCAGTGGTCTGTGCTAACATACCTAAACTGGCACTGCAGTATGTCTCTTGGAAACTTGCTCATGAAGCTTAATCTGCAGGAGAAAGGTCTTTAAACACTGCTAATAATAGACAACTGGAGCGTCAGTTCTCTGGTGCGATCTAGTAGATCCAGCCTCTCTCAGATCAAGAAGCAGGGTGGATAGCTGTGAACAAATACTACTTTCTTTTCTCTGAATTCCCTTCCTGCAGTGTAGCACTGTAAAAAACTTCCTGTTACCTTTTGTGAGTCTCAGCCTCTGTGTTTATTTCTCTGACAACTCCATTTGCTCATAAAGAAAAACCCTCTTCTTAGCAGGGCGCATATAAGAGATAGATAACCAGGTTATGAATGTTTGGGTTTGGTCAGAGATTATACTTATGGGTGAATTCTAGAACATGATTAACACTTGTTGCACTTCTGCTTTGGATTTAATTTGGCTGGTTCTTCTCCTAAAAGTTATCCTTTTACCAGGCTATTTTTTTTTTTTTAAATAACACTCAAAGCTGGCAATTATTCCTGATCATATAACTGGAATGAAGATATAACTGGAATGATGGAACATGCAAACACAAAGTCGATTACTGTATGGTGCTCAGATTTATAAAGAGAACAATGATGTTTTTTCGCACTAAGAGAACTCTCTTGAGGGTGTGAGTTGGTCTCACACGCAGATTAATTTGGCCCCATAACTATGGCAGAGCCAATGTCCGTGTAATGCATGTAATGGGCAGTGACATGCCTTTTTTTATTTTCTTTCAATTATAAGTGTATGGGTGTGCATGAGTTTACATGCAGGTGTAAACTGCCTGCCGAGGCTTTGAGGCCACAAACGTGTTCTGTGCATGTGACTGATTTGAGGATCAGGGCCTAAGCTTGTACTTTTGTTAACTGGTGAAATGGAGTTCGGAAGGGGGAGGGAAAGTCCAGCAGATGTCACTAAACAACCGAAACAAATTTGGGACAGAGCAAAAACACCCTTTAAATAAGTGTTTTCTCTCTCACTCAGGTAAACAGAATGCCCTAATAATGGGTAAAAAAACCTGGTTCTCCATTCCTGAGAAGAATCGTCCTTTAAAAGACAGAATTAATATAGTGCTCAGCAGGGAGCTCAAGTATGTATGATGAATAATAGGCTTGTAAAACAAATAACAAGTCTGCACCTAAAAATATGTGTAGCAGTACATCCTAAAGTAATTCTAAATGTAACATTTTTGATACCTGGTTAGGAAGCATCTCTGCTGTTGGTTCTGAGTGATATCACTACTTTACCTTAATTTTTTAATTATTATTTTTATTTCTTTTATTTTTTAATTAATTCACAAGATAATTGTCATTACTTTGCATAATAAATATTAGTCCTAGCTGTACACACAAACCATCTGACAATGTCAGTAGTCTTTCTGACTCATGTATTTAACTGTATTTCTTTAGTTCCTGGTTAGATTGGTGGCTCTTACTCCCTTTTTTGAAGTTTATTTTTATTAGCATTTAAGGAAAAAGAACTGTCCTTTTTCAGAGCTCTCTTCTTGAACCCATCACCCACAGTCATCCAAATATTCTTAAACAAAAATGGCCATTTATAATGGTTTATTGCTTTGGAGGATGTTGGTGGGGTTTGGGCTGAGTATGGGGGAGGGGGCAGGGGATAGAGGCTTTTTGACTAGTTTTATTGAATGAAATATTGATGTTCTAGAATTCAAGTAGAAATCTATATTTAATTTTATAGATATGTAAATTTCGCAGTTACACTTTTTTAAAAAAATATAAAATTTCAGATCTGTAATTTATAATGCCTTTTAAGTCACAATTATGATTAAACTGTGATTTATTAAACAATTCTGCAGTCAGATGAGAATTCTAACATAGTTTAGCAATAATAGGCATTTCAAAATAATTAACTAATGTGAAACATTTAGTCATTTGTGAGTTCAGCAAAACACATTGTATGTCTACATTGTATTGATTATCATGATGAATGGTCCTTTAATTATTTAGTAATAAAACTTGCCTTTTTCTAGGGATACCCCAAAAGGAGCACATTATCTTTCCAAAAGTCTGGATGATGCTTTAGCTCTTTTGGATTCACCAGAGTTAAAAAGTAAAGTAGACATGGTTTGGATCATCGGAGGGACTTCAGTTTACAAGGTACATTTAGAGTATTCCTAAATTACTCATTTTCTGCGATGGGATGAGGATGGCTCAAGCTCTTATTACTTCCGCTTTAGGAAGCGCCTTTCCTTCACATGACCCAGCAAACTCCAGTGATTCCAACAGAACAAGTCTTGGAGAGTAAGATTTCAACTCACAAGTTTAAAGCACCTGTCCAAGTAACCAAATGTTGCTCTTGCTAATGGTCCACTGTCATACAGTCATTGCACTTTTGAGAGCTTTTCTTAAATGTCTAAGTTATTGGGTTTTTACACCAAGACCCATATGGTTATGTTTATTTTGCTGAGGTGGTAGACTGACTTTGCAGAGGACGGGGGAAAAAAGGAAAAATGATCCAGCTTTTTTAGCCAGAGTATGACACTTTATACAGGTATACTGGTAAGAAAAGAGGATTTAGAGAGAGCTGACAGGTGATGGTGTCAGCAATAAGAGGAGATAATCATACAACAAAATGCAGAACTGACTGTTTTGCCATCAAACAACCAGGTGTCCCTACGGTTCCTACTCCCCAGGTTTCCCTTGGTGTCTTGGAATTCAGGTGTCTGTTCATGTGCCAAAAAGGCAGCATGTGCCTCTTTCTTCTCAGGGCCATCTTTGCACAGATGAAGCCCTGTATAAACTGCCCTGTTTACCCACAAATGCAATAGTCCTTCTGCCATTAACTAAGATATTAGCTGTGCAACGTGAAGGTCTGCAGTAAAACCTATCTTGTTGTTGCCCTGTGTTTCCTCAGCCATCTTTCTCCATTCCCCCAAACCCTTCCTCTCATTTTCCGTTTATACACATGTAAAGTTCAGTCAACTCTCCATACCTCCACCCACATCCCTAGAGTCATCCTTTCAGCCCCTACACAGTCAGGGTTCTGCCCTTTAACTCTCAATTGATTTTGCCTTCTTTTGTTAAGTTCTCCTATAATTTGCATTTATTGTCAAACAGTCCCACACAAAAGGTTATGGCCATCAACCCTAGTTCTTTTCATATCAATCAGGAGAATATGGAATAAGGACAGGAGTAAGCATTCTTTCTTCTGATTAAAAAAATCTTAATTGAGAATTGTAAAGCTTTTTTTTTTTTTTTATAGTAAAGGAAAAACAGTTCTGCTGTCCTTTAGTCATTACAAGTATGCTGGGAAGTATACTCCGTTTCTTGTTTGGCATCTGGACTTCAGGTGTGTGATGAAAATGCCGTCATGCTCCTGGTACCCAATTAAGGCTGACAATATGCGTTGTATACAGGGTGGGAAAATACATGTTCTGATATTTATTGCCTTTGCACCTTGTGCCTTTCATGAACCTCTTCTCTGTATCTTAGGTATCTTTTTACAGTAAAGAAAACAAAGTAGTTAGATATTGCTAAGGTTGTAAGAAAAATAAGACATATGCAAATTGCCTGTAAAACACTGTTGTTCCTCCTTTTTTTTAATTTATGTTTTATAATCACTTTTGCACGTGGTGAAGTCCACCATATATTTGATGTCCAAATGCAGTCTATAATCAAGTATTATTCTATAGAAGTAACCTGTCCTTAACCCCCAGTCATTAAATTGCCTGCTTCCAGGCAGTAAGTAGCAAGTTTATTTCTGGAGACAGATTCTCTTTAGATTGGCCCAACGTGAGCAAAAGACTAGGTTTGGCTTCTACCTGTAATTCTGCAGAATTCTGTATAAACTTTACAGAATTTACAGAAATTCTGTAAAAGCAGAAGCATTTACCCCTTCTGTGCAATGGCCACATACTCATCTAGTGCTGCAATGAATGATTATTTTTACTTGTTCTTCCAGGAGCATCTGTGTTGTAGACTTCTAATTTAACTATTTTTCCAGTGTCTGGCTGATACTTTGTAGAAAACAATGCAATTTTTTAGACTATTACTCACCAATACTTAGATTATAAATAGGCAGTTTTGATCGAGAGTACTTCTGCAACATATTACTTGTGCTGATCCACATAAGGGAATATGTCTTAAAATTTCAACGGTTTTCTCTGTTGTCCCAAGCTTTTACTTGGGACATTTCAAAGGAATTTGTAATCCATTAGGGAGAAATATGACAGTTTTATACAGATTCCTGCATTCAAACTAGCTTTGTGGTCTTAATTAAAAGAGTTTGATGGAAACCATACACCTCTACCAAAACTGCAGGTAATATTTTTAGTGCCTGTATTAAAGATGCACAAAGGATTACAGGAATATTTCCATTATACCATGTAGAAATGTGTAGGAGGTAAAATAGCAATTGGTAACTGAAGTGAATCATTTTATTCAGTAGTTGTAGGTATTTGCTTTTAAGGCATTATTTTGATCTTACTACTTTGTGTGGCTCAAAGGTTTAGAACTGATTGTGTTTATTAGTACAAGCCTGTGATGGAAAAGTGTCTGTAACTCCTTTAGCAACAGGAGTGGTGTGGTTTGAAACAGGTAGTGCTGAGGACATGACATTTCCACTTTTAGCACTTTGGGGAGTTTAACCCAAAGTTCAGGTCTTTCAAACCGGGTAGAGCTTTATGAGGACAGACTTTGGTAAGAAGAGCAGGCCACTCTGGAAAGCACCATACTTTTCTTTTCATCTGCCTCCTGCAGATGATGGTCCCAACCATCATCAACCCTTTTCTATTCCTGATCTTGTACCTGGCTTCTCCTACGCATTTACAAGTAACACTACTGTGCCTGCGGAGTAAATCCTCTTCTGCATCTGAGCGTAGCCACACACAGTGCAGTAGAGAGCTGTTTTGCAGCAGGAGGAGCTACTCCATTATGATCCCAGCAAGAAGAGCACCCAGACTCTGTAAAGTGTCATTTAAAATGCTACTTATTGGAGCTAACACTTTAAAGAAGGACAGAATAGTGTAAGTAATCTTACATCCGTTTAGATGCTGGGAACTCCAAGTTCTGTGGCATTGAGCGAGCCTCCAAGCCACATGCAGCATGCTGCACAGACCCCGTCTGTAGAAAGGGCTACCCCGTTTTGGTCATTCAAGCTATTACAGGACCTTCGTACAAGAAAACAAGTTTATTCATCATTTCTGCTTTCAAACAGAAAGGGTGTTCACATGAGAACTTCGTGCTGCTTTTAGATAAAGACAAGGACACGCAGGTGGTATACTTGTTGGTACCAAGTGGGACCTGCCTACAGGCTCCTCTTACAGTTTTCTGGCTGAGCTTATCCTGTGGCCGAGGAATATGCGCAGCACAGTAGAGGCCTGGGTCTATTCAAGTTAATTGTTATGTGGATCGCTAACTCCTTAATGTACAGTGGTCTTTCAGTCAGGATCAATACAAAAGGGAACGGCAAGCTCACGCGTGCACCCGTTGCATTTACATCAGGAGGGCTGCTTTGACAGCCTGTCACAGGCTGTTGTGGATGTCTTGAAGGCTGAGTAGGAAGATGGGG